TAGGATCGGTACACCATTGATAAGAACAGAAAATTAACAATCAACGGGGTTAACCGTTGCCCAAGCTTAAAGCTCAATTAATACTTTATTCTCAATAATAATCCTGCCCTCAAACCATTCCTTTTGAGAGATATAAATAACCTAGGCATCCTGCGTAGGGTAGAATTTCTAAACAGACTAGGAAACCTTATTAATTAAACTAGGAAACATAATTAAATAAAGACTAGGAAACATAAGGCAATTATTAAATAACTAGGAGACTACTAAAGGCAATAATTAAATAACTAAGAGACTACTAAATTATTCAGCCCACGGAAGTGGGTCCCTCCCGTCCGCGCCTTCGATAGACCAACAACGGTTTCGGCCGCTCCTCAGCCTGGGTCTTCGCTAGCTGTTCCGCGACCTGCTCTCTATCAACTTCATCCTCCCTTGAAAGAACCTTGTCCTCAAGGTTGAAATCTGGAAACTAGCCCACAAAACTTGCTTTATCTATCCAGGAAGCATCATCACTTGGTTGCCCGACCCATTTAACTAGCAGCTCCTCTACCCTGCCATTTTTCCCCCGACTAGCTAATATTTCTTCAGGCTCGAACACTGGACCGACTGGAAGTTCCAAACTTTCTGGCAACTCATTTCTACCGGGTGATCTCCTACCACCTTTCGCAGCTGAGACACATGAAAAATTGGGTGAATACGACTGCTGGATGGAAGTGCTAAGCGGTAAGCTGTCGGCCCGATACGTTCTTCAATAAAAAACGGCCCATAAAATTTGGCAGATAGCTTATGGTAAGGCTGCCGGAATAGGGAAGTCTGCCGGTGAGGTCTAACCTTCAAAAAGACTTTATCTCCTACCTTGAAGACGATGTCGCGTCGGTGTTTATTTGCTTGGGTTACCATGCACTGTTGGGCCTTTTGTAGATTGTCTTTTAATCGCTTTATCATAACATCCCTACTCCCAAGTACTTCTGCCACTGCTGCCACGGTGCTCTCGCCAGGTAGAAATCTGCGAATGGTGGGTGGAGGCCGACCGTAAACCACCTCAAATGGTGAGATCCTTGCTGATGTTTGAAACGCCGTATTATATGAGTATTCAGCCCATGGCAGCCAACGTACCCACAGCCGCGGCTGCTCACATGTGAAGCACCGTAAATATGTTTCCAACACCCGGTTCATAACCTCCGTCTGTCCATCTGTCTCCGGATGATACGCGGAGCTAAATTTTAATTGGGTACCTGACAAGGAGAACAATTCCTTCCAGAATGCACTTATGAATAGGGAGTCCCGATCACTAACAATGGAACGTGGAATGCCGTGTAACCTTACCACCTCTCTGGAGAATGCTTCAGCCACTGATCGTGCAGTGATAGGGGGTTTAAGGGCAATAAAATGCCCATATTTGGACAAACGATCTACAACCACCAAAATAGATGTGCACCCCTGCGATTTAGGCAAGCAAGTGATGAAATCCATTGAGATGTCTTCCCAAATCAGGCTAGGAACCGGCAAAGGCTGCAGCAATCCGGCCGGGGACATTGCCTCATATTTTGCCTTTTGACATACCAAACATTGAGCAACATAGGCTTGAACCCGACGGAACATTCCCTTCCAAAACACCAAAACACGTTCGCCGCCAGCCTTCTATATGTCCGGTATGCGCCCGCGTGGCCTCCGGTGGGTGTGTCGTGGAATTCCTCCAGTAGGCGAGGAATCCATTTTGAGTCTTCAGCAAGGACCAAACGTCCCTTAAAAAACAATTCCCGATCAGCTCATATCCGAAAACACGAGCCGGATTGTCAGCCAGTGCTTGTATAATATCCTGTAAATCTTTATTTTTGAGTTGCTCTTCCTCAATATCTGCCAGCCCTACCCATTCCGGTATGCTAAGTGCGGCGAGGTCTAACTTATCCCCCTTCCGAGATAACGCGTCTGCCGCTGAATTAGAAGCTCCTGTTTTATATTCAATCTCGAAATCATAGCCCAATAATTTTGCAACCCAAACCTGCTGGGAAGGAGTTGCTATGCGCTGGGTGAGCAAGTGTTTGAGGCTGCGATGATCTGTCCGCACAACAAATTTCCTTCCGATTAAATATGGCCGCCAATGTTGTACTGCCAAAGCTAACCCCATCATCTCTCGCTCGTAGGCTGATCTGGAAAGGGTTCTGTCCGCCAATGATTTGCTAAAATAAGCAACAGGTCTCCGTTCCTGCATCAGTACCGCTCCAACCCCAGTTCCCGAAGCGTCACACTCTACCACGAACTGCTTGTCAAATTGTGGCATAGCTAACACGGGTGCCTCTGTCAAGGCCTTTTTAAGCCGCTGGAATGCCTTCTCGGCCTCTGGGGACCATTGCAACCGAGCTATCGCTTCTTTTTTTAACAAGTTCGTGAGTGGTCGGGCGATCAGTCCATATTCTTTCACAAATCTTCGATAATATCCGGTTAATCCTAGAAATCCCCGAACCTCACGGACAGAATTCCGAGTCGGCCAATCCACCACTGCGCTTACTTTAGCCGGATCCATGGCTACCCCATCTGGAGAAATAATGTGTCCCAAGTACTCAACCTGAGGCAGCCCGAATGCACACTTCTTCCTATTGGCTCGGAATTGATTCTTCTCCAAGAGGCTTAAAACCAAATCCAATTGTTCCCGGTGTGCCTGCCACGATTTGCTGTATATTAAAATATCATCAAAAAATACCAAGACAAATTTCCGCAAGAAAGGCCTAAATAAATCGTTCATGGTGGCCTGGAAGGTAGTCGGGGCATTTGTCAGTCCGAACGGCATCACCAAAAATTCATAATGTCCGCTATGAGTGCGGAAAGCAGTCTTATGCACGTCCGGGGCAGCCACCCGAATCTGATGGTAGCCGGAGCGTAAGTCTATTTTGGAGAAAACTATAGCTCCCGCTAATTCGTCTAACATCTCTTGTATTACCGGAATTGGGTATTTATCGGGTACCGTTGACTTGTTCAATTCTCTGTAATCCACACAAAACCGCCAGCTACCATCCTTCTTTTTTACCAACAAGACTGGGCTTGAAAAGGGGCTAGAACTGGGTTGAATAACACCTGCCTGAAGCATTTCCTCTACAAGCCTCTCAATCTCGTCTTTCTGTAGGTGTCCATATCGGTATGGCCGAACTGACACAGCCTGTGCTCCGGGAATTAACTCAATGCGATGGTCCGTGGAGCGGCGTGGTGGCAGCCCCTGTGGCTCCCGGAATACCTCGGTATGCTGCCCGAGGACATCATCTATCGAACCTGAAAGTGTTCCCGACAGTTTGGCAGGTTCATTGACCAAAACTACGGCACAGAACTTTACCTCCGTGGTCTTAAGCAAGGATTTTAGGCTGACGACGTTTTTACACATTGCTGGATCACCTTTCAGCTCTATTTGTCTGCCTTCAAGCTCGAACTGCATCGTCATCTCCTTCCAGTTGGTTCGAACCTCTCCCAATGTGGCTAACCATGCCACACCTAATATGACATCAACCCCAGCTAACGGGAACACAAAGCAGTCTGTTTTAACAGCACAACCTGGTAACGACACCGATAACTGTCGACAAACCCCTTCCGACTCTTGCCTGTGCCCATCACCTAACTGGACCCCAAATTTACCGGTCTTGTCTGGTTTCAAACGTAGCAGCGATACTAAGGAAGATGAGATAAAATTGTGACTGGCGCCACTATCAATCAAGATCGTTATTGTGCACCCCCCAATCACTCCCCGAAGCCTCATTGTTTGCGGGCTAAAAATTCCAGCCATTGCATAAACTGGAAAATCACCCTCTTCCGCATCAAACTTGTCATTGTTCTCCGGAAAGTCTTCCAGCCCTGTCACCTCGTAGTAATCGTGTCGTTGCAAGTCCAAATCTTCGTCTTCCTCAGCAAGCATTACCCTCAATTGTTTAAAAGGGCAATCATGACCAGGCGTGAAAGGCTTCCGGCATCTAAAACACAAACCTTTGGCCCGCAGCTCTTCCCACACCTTAGGGGGAAGCCGGGTGAACCTGGATCGGCCGGTGGGCTGACCAGACAGTCCCGACGCGGTCCCGGCAGCCGGTGTAGAAGATCCCCCGAACTGTCCCGATGCCTTTGAGAAGCTGCCAGCCGTACTGCGTGAGCTGCTGCCACTCCCCGATGGTGGTGGACCTGTGTAGGGTCGGGAATAGCCACTTGAACGCGTCCCTGGAGAGTTATAATTAGGACCGTTTCGTCCTCCGTTCTGAATGGACAGATTATGCTCCACGTCTCGAGCTAATTCCATGGCGGTTTCCAGGTTATTCGGGCGAAATAAGCGTAACGAGCTCTTGGTGTCTTCCTTAAGCCCGTTCATGTAATAGCCTAGATAATGATCATCGGCCAGTCCCGGAACTTGGCTTGCCAACTGGACGAACAAAACATTATAATCTTCCACGGTCCCAATTTGTTTGATGCCTGCCAATCGTTCAAATTGATTCCCCTGAAATCGAGAATCGAATCTGGATACTAGGGCTTGCTTGAATTCTTCCCAGGTCATGCCGGGTTTACGCGCCTTCAACCAGGTCACCCAATAGAGGGCCCCTCCTTCCATAGCCACAACAGCGGCTGCAACTTTTTTCTCCGGAATGGTTCCAAAAAGTTCGAACTGTTGTTCGGCTCGAGCTAACCACCCGATCGGGTCAGACCCGTCAAACGTGGGTAACACAGTTGGGGCCGGGTTGCGCAGCCCCCCGTCAACGTGTGGCACCGTCATCGCGACACTGCCGACTCCAATCGCGTCGGCGTCCGGCGTTCCAGGCGGTACTAATGCCTTAGTTATCGCTGCCAGCGAAGCCACGATCTCCTCCAATTTTTGATTCATCCGGGTCTGCTCGGCCCCCAGTCGGGCCACTTCCTCTCCCGTGCGACCTTGTTCGTTCTCCAATTCTTGAAATCGATCACTCTGAGATCTCGTCATTGTTGCGGGACGGGATCCGGCAGGTCGGACCAATTGATAAGAACAGAAAATTAACAATCAACGGGGTTAACCGTTGCCCAAGCTTAAAGCTCAATTAATACTTTATTCTCAATAATAATCCTGCCCTCAAACCATTCCTTTTGAGAGATATAAATAACCTAGGCATCCTGCGTAGGGTAGAATTTCTAAACAGACTAGGAAACCTTATTAATTAAACTATGAAACATAATTAAATAAAAACTAGGAAACATAAGGCAATTATTAAATAACTAGGAGACTACTAAAGGCAATAATTAAATAACTAAGAGACTACTAAATTATTCAGCCCACGGAAGTGGGTCCCTCCCGTCCGCGCCTTCGATAGACCAACAACGGTTTCGGCCGCTCCTCAGCCTGGGTCTTCGCTAGCTGTTCCGCGACCTGCTCTCTATCAACCATGCTCATGGTGTACCGATCCCACGGTATAATCTGCCGGGTTTGGGTTGAGTTAAATTTAACACCAAAAACTTTTTCCTCCTTAAAAGAGAGTCGTTTCAAGATTTTCATGGAATTTTGCTATACAATATCCCGAACAGAATAAATAAGATACATTTATTTGAACAAACAAAACAACTAAAAATGCTATTGTATAATGAATTGTTTTAACACGCAATGACATTCAGCAATTGACAACAATCACGATTGACGAATAATAAAGTCTTCAGTACAAGGGCGACCAAGTGGAAATGGGGTGTTAGTGAGATTTCATAAGTTGAATCCATACTTTCAAGAGTGAATTTTTTCTGCCAATACAGGAAAGGGAAAGAATGCAAACGAATGACAAGAATTTGATGTACAAAATTCTAAACAAATACACAACTGAAATTACAGAGTTAAGGCAAGAGACCTGGCGTCGTAGTATTGGGACGTCTGCAATCGCAGGTGCAGAGACTTCTTGATTCTTTCACAACACGCTGCCTCCTCCTGGTGTGAAGTTTAATGTTAACCAATTTTCCTGCCATCTGCTTAGTCACCACAAACAAATATGTTAATCCTTCCATCCTTCTATTAATGTCAATCCCATGAAATACTTTTGCACCCAGGAATTAGTTTCATAAATAAAAAGACACATAATGTGAACCCTACAAAAGGGTATATGTAACATTCCAAAAAGCTCCCTAATATGTGTGCACTTTTGTAAAGCCTTAATTTTTCTTTCAAGTAAAGCTTCAGATACTGGAAATGCTGCGTCTGTAAGTTATCAGATACTAGTATATCAAATAACATAATCAACACTTCACATTTTAACAACTTATAAGTTATAACAAGCAAAACATGAAAAATAGAACACAAAGTACTGGCTGAATAAGGTAAGGTATGGATAACGAACCATTCTCCAGACCAAATCTTCTGGGCCCAAAGGTTGAGCAGGATGAGAATACAAAAAATGCCTTGAATACTGAATATTAGAAAAGATGTTATTGGGTCAGAGGTAATAACTGATTTATGTGATTAACTCAACAACCACAACTATTAATGGTACTCAAGAACTACCATTGCAGACAGACGAACCTTAGCTAAGTTCATTTGCATATCTCTGATTTGAGAAGTACTAACATTTCTCAGAAATGAAAGGAGCCACCCCGGCTGCACTGCATCACTGGAAGGTACAAGTAAAGCAATCTGCCAAATAAAGATAGAGTGAATGGGAAATTATTTAGCCATATAAGAGAACATGTCATGTGGTATAGAAATGGGAAGAAAGTGAAATACTATTTGGTCTATTCCCTCAGTTGGAGGCCCTCCCCGGGAAGATCAACACTGATATGGGACAGCCCAGTGCAGATTGGCATCCCCGCAAAATGAGGGTCCGGGGAAGGGTCCCACCACAAGACTGTATAGGGGGGAAGGCTTCCCTTGTGATTTTGACAAGAGGCCGCTACCCGTGAGTATGTGACCTCTCTGTCACACAACAACACCTCAACCGGTGCACCAAGGTTTCCCTTATAAACACTGATACCCAAGAGTATATTCAATGTGGTCTTGACATTGAATGAATGAAAACATTTTCGCGACAAAAAAAAACATATTGAAAATCATAATTGTCTTAGAGTTTCTGTTTAACAGGGATATATTATAATCACATGATGAAAACATAACTGATGAATCAATTGAATTTAAAATTTATTGTTCAATATATCTGAATACAGAAAGACGGTGTTAAATGGATGTGAGTACTCAACTAACTGAACAAGTAATCTAACTTTCGGTTATGATTATACCGTATGTTGTTAACTACATCTAAGTCCAATGGATCACACTTTGACACCCTTCTTGCAAAAACAATGAAGAAAACCTACAGGCAAATCATATTTACGAACCTTACGATAATCAAGAATTCCCTCAAAAGGAAGCTCTAGTTCATCACTTATTATGACCGGAATGCAGCCACTAACAATTGCATCAAATAATCTCGCTGATGATGGAGTGTCACCAGCAGGACTAAGGCAAAACAAACTCCTAATCACCGCATGAATGAATCAAAATTAGTCTGCGTTTTTAAATAAGTTAAGCACTGTCTGGATAATAAAGTTTTTAAAAAGTACTTGCGCATGCCAGTCTGAGCTGCTGCCTTTCCAGCATCTCCAGTAGTCCCTTCCTCTATAAGCACTCCCTGAGTACCACTAAGTTCTGATACAAGCTTGGCACGTATTTTTCCTCCCTGGAAAGTAAAGTGAATTATTTAGAGCATCCACTTGCACAATTATGTGTGATGAACTTAAGCTATTGTTTACCAAAAACATACACACCAGATAGCAGTTACTGCACTACAGTACTGCTCCATCGTAGATTCTCTGACCCATGAAAATAAGTATCATTATCTTTACTAAACCTTGCAAAGAAAAGAAAAATGCAAGCTTACAGCATTTCTTTTAAGCCTCCCACGAAAAAACAGCAGTGTGCTTCTCTTATTTTCATTCTCTGATAAGCATTTGGCATCACAAAGGTCAAGATTGGGAACATAAGGAAGTATCAGGTCCTTCTCGAGATAAACCTGTCCTGGTTTGTACCTGAAGTCATACCACATACCTTAGCTTTAGTAACATTTGGGTATTTTGAAGCAATGAACTAAGTTATGGTATTTACCAGTTCCCTGTTGAATCCATATCAGGAAGCAACCAAATTGCATTCTTCATAAATTTGCGAACAGACTTGAAAGACCAAGGGTGATGGACAGGAAGGATATGATCTCTTCCCTCGGACCGCTTCCATGCAGGTTGATCCATAACCCATTTCAAGGCTTCCTGTATATTCAGAATATATGCGATCAGATACAAGAAAAATCTATATAAAGCTGAAACTTCACTAAAAACTAATGTCAGTTCCAATTTCAAGATAGCAAACTAACTGTTGCATACATCCAGCTCTAGTATTAGTTATCACTTATCAATAGCATGACACCTTAAAAAACAGTTCATTCTCACTTTTAAAAAGAGAAATAAACTACCCACCCCCGGATTGTGGTTTGGATGGGAAGGGAAATGAGGAGAAAAAATCCTCCTATGAAATAACTTTCCTTTCCAAAATGGAATAAAAATGGGTTGTTGCCTCCTCAGCACAGAATATGCAATGCACTTGGAGACTTGAAGTGCATTCACGCTCAAGACACTCATCAACTTTACTTTGCAGCTTGTACTCCTCTCACTGTTTTCTCTCTACACCTAATCTCTCCCATCTCTGTAGTCCCCATATCTTATCCATACATCCTTACTTAGCCAGACGTAATGTATAGCTATAACTCCCCCCAATCAGGCTCCCATATGGCCATATGGAAACAATATCATGTCTCTGATTAAAAGAAATGCTTTCAATCATGGCAAATTGCCTGCTTTTGTAGGGAGAATGAAAAGAGGACATATAAACAGTAGAGGATTTTAACAGGAGTTAAAGGTTAGAGATATTTTTGTGAAGCAGGGTTTCATAGATGCAGTCAATCCCAATGGAATCTTATGAAATTCACTATTCAATAGAATAAATTAGGGCAGCAGAAGAAAGAAAATATTTAGAGTATAATGTTTGCTGCATGAAAATGCACTCACACCCTATAAAGAGCCTTGCATTGCTGTTTTTCAAGCAAGAAAAAGCTGATGGTAGTGAAAAACGGTATGTAGAATAGGTCTGATTCTTCCTGCTTATGCACTCTAACCACATTCTTCAACAGCCTTTCTGATTCTGGCGCTATCAAATCCGCCCATAACCAGTAATCAATTGAATGCTACACACAAAGCAATGCATTCCAGCTAAAACATATATTACCGATACCAAATTAAAAGCGCAAAAGTACGATGAGATAAAAGAAAACTTACTTGCTCAATCAACCTGTGCACAGGACTGCCATTCGAAGTAAGATTACCTGTCTCTTTGTACGTATTGCGGAACAACCAGAGCAAATCGTAAGTGAACTTCTTAGGCATTTCGTAGACATAAACCTTAATAGGCGAAAAGGCAGGATAGAACTGTTCTTCGTATAAACTCTGAATCTCCTTCTTCCATTTCAAATCATCTAACTTTTGCACATCCCCTGCGATAATTGTATCGAGCACTGAGTCATCGCTGACACTCAATGATCGAGGAGATTTTGCGAGGAACTTCTCGAGCGAGGACACGAATGAGTAATCAACTTCTGAGTTAGGGTTTGGGACGGGGCGGATTGCGATGGAGCTGGTCACGGAATCAGAAGAGGATGAAAATATGTAGAAGATGAAGGATAGCGGCAGAAGGGCGAGAAGGAATATCAACAACGGAGATCTGGATTTTGAGCTTCCCGGGATAATGGAATTGTGTCTTCCCGCCATTTGCAGACAACTCAGGCACTCACAAACCTACCGCAGGTTCGCTAAGGTACGAGGAGTGGAGGACTGTCCTGAAAATTTCCAAGGTCAAATTTCCACTTCTGGAGTATTTGGATAAAAGTGCAAAAGTGATTTGGTACTCTAATTTACTCTTAGAATCAGTTTTTTTAGAAACTGGGGTGACCAGCTTCTGAAATCTGATTTTGCTTCTACTTTAAAAAAGAAGCAGAATCAGAATCATTTCCAAACACCCCCTTATTACTATCTATTGAAATGATTAATTCAATAGCTTTTGTGAAAATGAAGAAGTCACGTGTTTTATATTCTAAATTTGTGTGTTAGTTATTGCTCGAGGAAAGTGTCAGTTTGTTATATGAACTTGGGAGCAGAATAGTAAAGAGTACATCAACCTGCAATTGGGATCCACCGGTACACTAAATTGCCAAAAGGGTCTGATTTAGTCCTACGGGGTATTAGGAATGCTAAAATGCTGAGCTGGCCATTGGATTAGTAAGAAAGCTGGAATTTGTGAGATCTGAAGCTTGCGATCTGGTGCGCGTTTTGAACCCCACAAGCACTGGCCAACCGGATCAGTCATGGACATTGCGATTTGTGAAGCACGCTCACCTCAATGTATCAGCTGGAGTTCACTTCCCCGTTCCAGGTCTCCTCCTCATCAATCGCCTCTCACAGCTCAACCTCAACCTTATGAGCTTCCGCCATTAACGGCCGCTGGGAAGCTCCGCTCTTTAACCATAAACTAACGCGGGGAGGGTGTGGTCGTTGTTGCTGAGAACTGAAACTACCATGATTAACGCAACTCAAGAAACCTCCGGTCAAAGAGGCTCCAAGACGAGCTCCGCCTCTCCCATCGCCGCGCTGTCCGCCGTCGGGGTCTGCTGGATTCTCTCGCCATAACCAGTAGGGAAATTTGGTAAACCTTTGGACGAAATGCTCTGAGATGAAGACGGGATCCCCTCCATTTCCGGTGGCATGAGGATAGAGTACATCTTCCTAGCTAACTTTTAGCCCAACTCACTAATCCAATGGCCAGCTCAACATTTTAGCATTCGTAATACCCGGTAGGACTAAATTAGACCCATTTTGGCAATTTAGTGTACCGGTGGATCCCAATTGCAGGTTGATGTACTCTTTACTCCCCCGCTCCCAAGTTCATGTACCAAACTGACACTTTCCTCGTTATTGCTTTTAACCATGTGTGTTTGAATCCACCGGTAGAATTGCTCTATTGGCAATTGAAAGCTTGCACATTGTTTGCCTTTAACATGACTCATATTGGGTCATGGATGAAAATTGTTCTCGCTTGTGAGTGTATATTTGCTCCGTTGGGTCTTTTTATACTTGGGAGTAATGTATTGTTAATTGGGACGGGTAAAAGGATCATAGTTTCGTAACTCCATGCAAGAAAGCAATCTAACAATATTACAATCCAAAAAATAATTATAAAAAAGTGATTTTATTACACATCTTGGGATTTTCTTGCAAGGATAAAACTTTAAGTTAATTGACATTAATAATTTTTCTTTTTTTAATTAAAATGTATAGAAATTGTAATGTAAGGAGGAAAGTCCTCACATGACATGAATTTAGTCATGATAAGCAAAGTAAGAGACTGAGTAGATGCTACTAAATTCATTAATCATTATGTACATGCTACTAAATTCATGATCTACCTACAAGTTGCTCTCCCTTACAAGAGTCTTTTTTTAAGAAGTTTGCAAATGAATTGAATTGACACTATTAATTAAAATCCTGATTTTATACAAATGAAATTTTCTATTTAGAGAATTTTCATAAACGCGCTTATTTGCCATGGCAATGTACACACACTAGGGTGGAGATGCTCGCGGTCCCGGGGTTAACCTCGGTGGGGACTGGGCAATTTTCGAACCAGTATTGAGACCCGAGAACAAGGTTCCGAATTATGATCGAGATTGGGCTGGTGGGGAAGAGGTCCCACTTCCTATCCTCAATTCTCGAGACTGGGACCAATCAGTGTGGTTGTGGTCCTATTTTTTTTTTTTTTACATTTGAGCTATTGGAAAGCATTTTAAACGAGTGAGGTGGGGGTGGGGAGTGAGCTGGTTAAAGAGTTTTAAAATGTATATAAAAATGTAATCAGACTTTGATCAAGATCATGCGACGGATCACGGGACCAGAAAAATAGGTCTAGGTCCCATTCTTCTCAAACTTTTTTTAAACCAACCAGTGTGAAAATAGAACCACCTAGAAGTAAACAGTATCCACCCTAACAGACACACATAAATAGTTATTGTATATGTGTGTGTAAATATATACCATTTGGCCATTGTTACTATAACTCTATCACCGGCATGTCCTACTGAATTAATTGAAAAAAAATATTACTCCACCAAATATTTATATAACACATACTCCGTATAATATAGGGCATTAACAAAATCAGTTAGTATTTCAAAAGAAACAGAGTCAGTTAAAGGGCGTCAAGATAACTACTCTCTCCAGTTGAGTGGCATCGACGAGAGTATGCAATTTTTGATCAAATCATTGTAAAATTTCAAGACAGTCCACACCACCTTATTAGCGAACTTGCGGTTGGTTCAGTGTGTGAGTTCCCGAGTTCGTCTGCAAATGGCGGGAAGACACAATTCCATTGCCCCGGGGAATGCAAAATCCAGATCTCCGTTATTGATGTTCCTTCTCGCCCTTCTGCCGCTATCCGGTTCTAAGTTCTAATATCTCCGTTTAAGGTATTTTTCTTCTTCTTGTATGTGTGCTCGGTATTGCTCTTCTCACCCTGTTACGTACGTGTACTCAATCATATCAGTATAATGATAATGATGATGATGATGATGATGATGATGATGATGATGATGATGATGATGATGATGATGATGATGATAAGGCAGTGAGTTTCCGACTTTGATGGACTCCCCATTCCGGCCGATAAGGCGGTGAGTTTCTGACTTTCTGTATAATTTTTACCTCGCTTGATCACTGTTACTCAATTGTTGGATTGAGTAGTTTATCACTAATACCATATGCGTAATCGGTAGTTGTTAAAGCATTGCTGCTATTGATGGATGCAAACGATGATGTTTTGTGTCCATTGTAGGAAGTTTATGCTTTATAATTCTATAGAGATTGGATTGTTGATTTATTACATCTCATTGTGTTTAATGTGGAATGCAGAACTTAAAGGAAGACCTGTGTAAGATAGATGCAAGATGGGCAGCTGCACATTTCGATTCTCTTCCCCACATTGTGCATATTTTAACATTGAATGATTGTAATACTTGAGATTAAATTAAAGTGATTAATAGTACTACTCATATCAACAAGGTGTGTCTCCTTTTAAGAAAACTCATCCTTCTAGGCTTGTGTTGGTTTGTGAGGACAACACTAGAGGTTTGGAGAGTATCTAGCAAGGCCCGAGATGTTTCAAGTGGTATCAGAGCAACCCTGCAATAATGTATTGGTCCGTTAGATATCGAATGGACATTTAGCATGGGGAGGATTTTGGGGTTTGGTTGAGATTGGTTTATGGGTGCAACGAGGACATTGCGCTTAAGTAAGGGTGATTGTACTACTTGAGATCAATTTAAAGTGATTAATAGTACTACTCATACCAACAAGGTCCATCTTCTTTTCAAGGAAGCTCATCGGTTAAGAACTCCAAGTTATGCATGCTTGCACGGGAGTAGTCTTGGGATGGGTGACCCCCTGTTAAGTTTCTCAAGGCATGGACGAGTGAGAACAAAGTGCGGGGTAAAGGCTTTGTGTTGGTTTATGAGAACTGTACTAGAGGTCTGGAGAGTATCTAAGAGTAATTACCTCGGGCCTTGCGGGGCCGGGGTGTTACAATGTATATGTATATGTTTTTTTCTCAAGTGAGATAAAAAAACTGTAAGGAGTATCCCAAATGAAGAGAGTATTTACAAAAAACATTTACTACACAATGTTCAAAAAATGCATTTCCTACATTGTTCGCAAAACTGCAATTCCTGCACAATGCAACTCATCATTAGTGGTGTACATATGATAAGCAGTTTACATTAGTAATGTATTCTTGACCGTGTACTAATAGGCGTGCTCTTCTCCTCAGTATCCATCTATGAGGTTCTTCCGGATATAATAGCATTGAGATTTCCGAAAATGGTAGGTCTATTTCTCTTAATGCAGGAATCAGTGGATCTTCACTGTTATGTAATTTTAATAGGCCGCAAGACATTGTGGATCAATTATTTTGCTTATTAATGAGATCATCTTCAGCGCTGTATAGCTATTATATTTGCGCGTTATGTGTTCACAGATGGTGTTCAACCGTACAAATTCAGACACCATCTGCATGATTATTACGTAGTATCATTGATGAAGCGATCTACCAATTGTGTCTGCATGATTAGCAACGCCATGAAATTTGGAGAGCCTCATTATAGCCCCTGAAGTATGAATTTGCCTAATTTCAAGTCATATATTCTCACTCGCTTTCCCATTCTTGAGTAACTCTACCCAAAAGGGAGTTTCTTAGAGTCTGTGCAGTCTTGAAACGTTATTATTCACTTAGGCAGAATGTAAAGAACGCTTTGGAAGGGTAAAAATGGTTTAAAACACAAAACATACAGATTTCTTGGACAAAAACCATTTCTATTGAGTTCTGATCTGCGACACCAAGTATAACATGAAAAAAATCTATTATGTTTGGTTCTTGTCTCCACAATATAGGTATAGATACATACCCATTTGCCAGGTACAACTAACAATTGACAAGTGGTAATTGGAAAGTCAAGAAACTTCTGATAAAGAAGTCGTAATAGTCCGCCTCGGTGGATAATGAAATGCATTTGAATGCGTGGGACTGTAATGGGGGCCTCCTGCACCCATATGTATATGTCTATGTATTTGTTTTTTATGTGTTTTTTTTATATTTAATACTAATAGAGTGCTATATTAAGATATTGTATATGTATATTGTTAAATGATTTTTGCAAGTTAACTGGTCCGGAGAATACATATTGCGGACCAGTTAACTTACAAAAATCATTTGACGACCTTCCCGGTTGAATTTTTGGCTGAAATTTGGTATGGATGAACTAGA